ACAACACAGCTCCCTAGCTCTTCAGGTATCGAACCAGACAACTTGTTGTGAGACAGATCATAGACACCATGATGCTGAACATAACTTGAATCAGGGATGCTTGCTTGACGGAAATACTTGGAAATCTTGGAAGGAATAGCACCACTAAGCTCATTGTGGGAAAGAACCAGGCACTGTAGCTGAGGCAGATCCACAAGTGTCACCGGGATCGACCCATGAAGCCGATTATTCCCGAGATCCAATGTTGTAAGAGAGATACAATCCCCCAATTCAACAGGAATGAACCCTTCAAGAAGATTGGAATTCAAATTCAACACTGAGAGAGAAGTTAAATTACCGATCTCCTTAGGAATAACACCACTTATCTTGTTGTTACTAAGAACTAGCCTTTGCAATGACACAGCATTACCAATTTCTATAGATAGAGTACCCTGTAAGTGGTTATTTGCAGCAGAAAACTCCAATAGACTAGCAGAATTCCAGAGACTTACTGGAATAGAACCTGTCAAATTGTTGGAATCCAAATCAAGAACCATCAAAGGGAGCTCTGATAAATACTCTGGAATCACCCCAGTAATACTATTATCTAATAATACCAACTGAGTCAGATTACCACACTTTACAAATGTGTCTTTAATACTGCCTGTGAGAAAGTTGTGATCAAGATCAATATCTGTGAGTGCCACAGCATTACAAAGCTCTTTAGGTATTGGACCAGAGAGTAAGTTGCTGCTGAGACTAATATGATTCAATAAAGAACAGTTCCCAATCTCAGCTGGAATTTTGCCCGTAAACCGATTACTCGAAAGCAAAAGGGAATCCATTTGTGTCCATTTTCCAAGCCAAGAAGGCAATGGACCTGAAAGCTGATTCCTTTCTGCAGTAAAAGATAGAATAGGCAACTCTGAAAGCTCTTGAGGCAAAGAACCAGTGAGTGAATTAAAAGAAAGCATCACTGTTGTCAACTTTCTACACTTTCCAAGCTCAGAGGGTATTGAACCATTAATCTCAGAGTAACCTAAGTTCAAGAAAGTCAAATTCTCAAGACCGCCTATTGCTTTTGGGATAGAACACTTCAATGGGTTATAAGAAAGGTCAAGTTTGGTCAAAGATTTCAACTTGGAGATGGATTCTGGCAATGGACCCTCAAGTGAACATGAAGCAGCATAGAAATTATGGAGATTAGAAAGTTCACCAATTTCTGGTGGCAACTGGCCAGAAAATCTGTTAAGCCCAATATAAATATTCTTAAGGTTTCTCAATTTCCCAATTTCAGGTGGAATAGAACCAGAAAGGGTGTTGTTAGACACATCAAAAGAAGTTAAAGATTGAAGCTTTGTGAAGAGTGTTGGAGAGAGAGAACCTGAGAGAAAGTTGTTGCCAAGAGCCAAGACTTGTAGCTGAGTCAAGTTACCAATTTGGACTGGAATTTTTCCGGTCAAAGCATTGCCAGAAAGGTCAAGAAACCTTAGTTGAGTCAAAGTAGCAATGTGGGGTGAAATGGGGCCTTTAAGTGATAAAGAAGAGAGCTTGAGGGAAACAACTTGACCATTTTTGCAAAAAACACCATTCCAGTGACAATGTGAAGTTGAGGTGGTCCATGTAGACAGAATATGTGAATTTTCAAGAGAACTCCTGAAAGAAAACAGACTTTGTCTTTCTGGGTCCTCTTCTGAAAATCTTTGTAGGGTTGCATTGGAAACAAAGAAACAGAAAAGAAAGACAATGGCAGAGGTATAAAGAAACCTAATGGCCATTACAAAAAGGCCTGTACTTTGAAATGCAGTGGAAGAGAAATGAAATGGGATGTGTAATGAACAAGTGGTAGATATGAGTGTATTAACAAAGACTGAGAAAAGTCCTATTATACAATTATGACAACTCTACTACTCCATTAAAGAGGGTACTGAATTGGATGTTGAAAGTCGGAAGAATTAAGAGGAAAGAGAATAGTAAAATAAGGTGTTGGGAACATGAAGAGAGAAGAGAAAGAACAGATTATACTACATGGTGGAATACGAAAATATTTTTTTGTAATCCCCAGAAATTTTCTTAGTGTAATGTGATAGTGAGAATCAAGCAAATACAAGTACAAGTTCAAGAAAACAACACTGTCTTCAATGAGTCTTGAGTGGGGGTCCTTGGCCCCTACATAGTAACCACGGGGTGAAGGGGAGGGGGGGGGCCTATTTTCACTACCAACAAATGAATACGAAAAGGTTCTTGAAATTTGTCACAGATTTTTATGAGACATATTTTAAGATTCGGAGCTTGGGAGCACCTAAATGCCTTATCCCTAAAACACCCTCCAAATTAAAAGGACCCCCCCCCCCCCCCTAAAAAAAAATATCTTTCTTCCACATTTTGAAGATTTAATTGCGTATTTAGTGATGTTTGACACATTTGAATCTACTCCTTAATTTGGTTGGTAATAATTGAAGTTTACTGCTTGCTATGTATTTACCTGTAATGATACTGCTAGAGCTAAAGTCCCATTTAATGATTATGTGAGGACAAAAGCACATGAAACTCTCTGGAGTTTATTCTAAATCAGAAAAATATTTCTTTCGCATTTGAGGATAGAAGAATCTATTTTTTTCAAGTTTGTCACTTTACTATCAACTTGAAATGAAAAAGAATAAGAACTTGAGTACTATTTTAAGTTTGAAAATAAGGAATTATAATTCAGCAAATACTAACCATTTTTTGCTACGCATAGTTGCTTAGTTGCTTTCAAAATGCAACACACGTAGGACTAGGAGCTACTATGATCATATAGATTCAAAAAACCAAAGGTTCTAAATATTTATTTCATTAACATTTTGTCCAAACATATAAAATCATGATGATTTTGGCTAAGAAACTAGTTATAAGCATTGCACAAGTTAGTTTCTTTTTTTTACGTTTTTAGTTTTAAAACTAGCAATAGTACTGTAGAGCTTCTATTAAGTATAACTCAACCAAAGTGGAAAAAAAATCAGGACCCCCCCCCAACCCAAGTCCCTTGTTGAACATTTTAAATTCAAATGTATTTATATCGATGTTTGACGCATTTGAATCTACTCCTTTCGTTAATAATACTTGAAGTTACTGGTAGGTAATTTAGCTACTTTGGTAAGAGTCATTTAATGATTATGTGAGGACAAAAGCTCACGAACTTTCTGAACTTCTACTCAAATTGGAAAAAAAAAAAAGAAAATTTCCTTGGTACTTCACGATCAAAGGAACCTTTTTAATTCAAGTTTGTTTATTTACTATTAATGGTAAAGAAATACTTCACTTTTACTTGTCCAGTATTCTAAAAATAGATTTTAGCTTTTACTTATCGTTTCTACCATATCAAGAGAAGATAATTTTTTTTTCCTGTTATACCCATAGTATTAATTACTCATTCAAATAATTTTCTCAAATTCATTAAAAATAGGGAAAATTTCATATTAAAACAACTGGACTGCCTCCTTTTCAACTTTATAGCCCATATTTCAATTTACAATTGATTAGCCCAAAAATTAGAGCCCCGTATCTGAAAAAAGGGGCGTTATTTCCGTTTTTTGGGAGTAAGAAGTGGGATTTTCTGGATTTTCTCTGATTCTTTCCAATCTTCTTCCCCAAATACTTCAAAAACGAGATCTTGCGATCAATGCAGCTCCAAAAACCCTAGAATTTCTTCTTCATCTCGAATTAACAGCAAATCAAACACGAAAAGTGAAATTTTTTTGCTGCAAATCAGCGCAATTTTTATTTTTGCTGCAATTTTGATTTCAATTTTTTGTTCGATGGATATTTTTTCAGTTTACGTTCTTCATAGTGGTGAATGGGAAGAAAACAAGTTTATCAATTTCGTCAGCGATTGTGTAATAATCGAGTCGACATTCAGCTACAACAATTTAGTTGCAGCTATTTCGGAACAGATTAGGATCGATAGTGAGTTAAACACAATAGAGATTAACTTTCTCCCAAATGTTGGTTTGCCACCGATCCTGATTTACAACAATACAGGTGTATATCAAATTAAAGAAGAAAAACTTGAATTTCACTGAATATCCCTTGTTTGTGACATTGAAAGAGATTTATGATAATCGTTTGGTTGCTACAAGTTCTAGTTGTGTGGTTGCTACAAGTTCCAGCTGTTTGGTTGCTACAAGTTCAAATTCTAGAGATGTATCCACAATTGATAGCACTGAGATTATTGATATCGAATTTATTGAAAATACGAAATTTAGTGAAAACACGGGTATAATAGATGATATATTGAATGATTTTGTTGAGGAAGATCAAGTTTATAAGGATATAAAGAGACAGTTGTCAGTGTAATGAAGAACTTGGTTGTACATGAGAGGTTCCAATTCAAGGTGAAGAGATCAAGCGCAACAATATGTAAATAATTGTATATTCTGTTATATATATATATGTATAAATATGTATAAAGTAGTATATATTTGTATATAGGTATTAAAATTAGTATATATGTAGTTATGTTTTTGTATACAAGTGTATTTAGAAGTTGAATGATCTTTAATCCTAGGTATCACCTTATGTGTATGGATGACAATTGTGCTTGGAGTTTCAAATCTTCTGCCGTTTTCAAGGCAAACATACTCAAAGTGAGAAGTTACAATAATAATCACACATGCGGCTATGGTGAAAGATACTTAACACAACGTCAAGCTACTTCGGGTGTAATTGCTAGTATAGTCAAGGACAAGTATGTTAATCCAAAAAAAGTTTACACCACAAATGATATAATAGAGGACATACAAAAGCAACACGGGATTGAAGTGAGCTACATGAAAGCATGGAGAGCTAAAGAGATAGAAATGGCAATGATAAGAGGGAGTCCGGGTGATTCATATAAGGAGTTGCCGAAGTATTTTTATATGTTGGAGCAAACAAATCCAGGAACGGTTACAAAGTTGCACAAATCAGAAGATGGATGCTTTCTTTATGCATATGTTTCGCTATATGCATCTATCAAGGGCTGAGAGCATTGCAGACCGATAATGGTTGTTGACGGAAGTTTTCTTAAAGCAGCATATAAGGGTACCATATTGGCTGCTTGCACACAGGATAGAGCTGGTGAGTTGACTGCATCTACCTTGTTTCTGCAGTTTGTATAATATTGTAGTTTCATGTATAAAAGTGTATAGGATTTCACAGCTACTATTTTTATAAAATTTGCAGTTGGTATAAAATTGTATAATTGTGTATAACTGTGTATAAGATTTGTATAATTGTCTGAATCCTAATATCTATTTTGTATAAACAGGAAAAATCCTTCCACTTGCATATGCAATTGTAGATTCAGAGAATAACAAATCTTGGGAGTGGTTCTTTGTCCAGATAAAGGGTACTTTTGGAGTTAGGGAAGGGATGTGTATAGTTTCAGATAGAAATGAAAGCATCTTCAATGCCACAAAAGTTGTGTACCCAGAAGTACCACATTGTATTTGCATGTTTCACTTGTGGCAGAATGTAAAGTGCACATTCAAGAAACATCACAAACAATTACAGGATATCTTCTTTGCTTTGGCTAGAGCTTACATAATAGAGAAGTTTGAGTACCATATGATAGAGATGTGCAAAATTGATCCGAGAGTGCAGCCTTACTTGTTCGAAATTGGCTACGAAAGGTGGTCTAGGGCATATTCCAAAGTGAAAAGGTCGATGGTAATGACTTCCAATATTGCAGAGTCAATTAATGCAGCAAACAAGGATCCTAGAGAGTTACCGGTAATGCGATTGCTGTAGTACATGACAAATTTGCTACAACAGTGGAACAACAAAAACAGAAAAAGTGCAATGGAGACATCTACAGAGCTTGGCAAAAAGTACGAGAAACTCCTTCGGGAAAATCTGATTGCATCGGAGCAAATGACGGTAAAATGAATCAAATATAATGATGTTTGGCACTGCTGACTTGCATTTTACTGCTTGTATAAGGATGTATAACTTTGTATAATAATGTATAATGTTCTTTAACTATTTTTAAAAAAAAAACTTTTGCAGGTGAGGCCTGTTACGGAGCAGTTATATACTGTGTTTGAAGGGGTAAGGCGAAACATAGTGTGCCTTGAAGAGGGAACATGCAGTTGCGGAAAATTTCAAATGGATAAACTTTCATGTCCGCATGCTTGGGTGGTTTTGAAGAACCAGCAGCTGAAACCTGGCCAGTATTGCTCTTTTTACTACAAGAAGGATAAACTCCTTCCAGTGAATCCGATTGCAGATGAGAGTTTATGGGTAATCCCAATAGAGGTGATGGAAGATGTGGTCCTACCACCTAAAGGGAGAAGGAATGCAGGAAGGCCAAGAAAGGAAAGACTCAAACCTGCTTCAGAAAAAGAGTCTAAGAGGGCGTTTTCATGTTTTGTGTGTGGACAAGGTGGTCACAATAGAAAAACATGTAGGAATCGACCAAAATAAATAGTTGAAAACATAACACTTCCTATTACATTTGTTGTCATGTTGAGTAGTTAAGTTTCACAAACAATAGAGTTACAAATGTTGAGTAGTTAAGTTTCACAAGCAATTGACATGTTTCATTATACATGTTTTGATTATCCAATAATAGTGTCTTGCTGTTGTCACACCTCCTTTTTCCTACTACACCCCGTAAAGGGTATAATAAAGGGAGTTATTTCCAACTTGAAGTGACAATCGAAACGGGATTCATTTTATCAAAAATTCAGAGTCGCCACTTGGGAGATTTATGGTGTCCCAAGTCACCGGTTTAGAATCCCGAATAAAGGAGATTTGACTCTGTTTAATGTCTGCGAAACACAGAAATCCGAGTAAGGAATTCTGTTAACCCGGGAGAAGGTGTTAGGCACTCCCGAGTTCCGTGGTTCTAGCACGGTCGCTTTGATCATACTTGGCTCATTAAACTATTTAATTACTGATTTTAGAACCTATATGCTTTTGCTTCCTTTACCGCTTTTTATTAGAAAATTATCTTGAGACGGGTTACGCGTACGTATACCCGCCTGTTTGGTGCGTCAAAAAATCATGTCACGCGAACGTGTCCACAATTAATAACGCTTAATTATTATTAAGAAAAGTTTGGGCCGAAGTTGCGCGAACGCATACTCCGGCTTTGTTTTTAGAAGTGTAGTTGTATTACGCGAACGTATACGCAACCACACTTGGTATTTCTACGAAATATTACTTTTATCTAGCCTACGAAATTACTAAAAGGGCATATGTGATTTTAATGAACTTATGTGAACTAAGAAAATAATTAAAAGCTTGTAGCCTATTTTATTATTAGGCAAAGATTGAGCGAAGTTGCGCGAACGCGTACTCCGAATTAATTTAGGATCATGGTCATGTTACGCGAACGTATATGCAACCACAATCGTAGATTAAATCGTGCCTAAAGGCAAACTACGAACATTTGTCATTTTATATCTATGTTATAAGAAATTAATACGGGGGCCATATGTGATTTAAGGGTTGATGGCACATCTCGATTTTATTCTAAAAGGGTATTCGAACTAAATTATGAAGGGCCATGAACTAAGACCTAAGGGAATTGTGACTACTTCACCAAGAGTTGAACCCATTATTAACCCAAAAGACTCCAGGCCTGAAGGCAGGCCCAAACACTCTTCAAAACCTCTATTCAGAGATAGAAAATCCTGAGGCTGTCCGAATGCAATGGACTGCCCTTCAGATGAAAGGGTCTCGATGTTCAGGCCCAAAAAGAGCCTAAACATTAGTGAGCATATGTTGTGGGCATGAGACTAGGAATCGAACCACAGAAAAGACAAATGTATATGCAAATCAACCAATGTTCTAAGCACAGTTACCATCATCACTAGAACGGGTTTGTGCAATCATCAGTTAATGCAACACGTGACATGCAACACATTAAGCTCGTATCCATAATCGATTGACCTCATACATACAAGAACTCCGTATCAAACTCGCAGGCCTTCAAATCTGATTTTAAAACTACAATTACATATACAGCCCTTTAAACATTTGAAAACTTACATAAACATGGACATCACTAAGTTAAAATGCCCCTAAATCAATAAACCCAGTCCCAAGTTTGTGCATAAGTGGATCTGAATATGTGATACACAAACCCAAGCCCAGTCTAGGCTTGAGAGCCCAGGTCTGTCCAAGCTCAAAATCAGAGGATTAGACTCGAAGTTGAGTCTAGATCAGCAACCAAATCTGCTGCATTCAAACATGTTAATTCTTCATAATCCTATCCTGATTACACGTTCCATGTTAACTACAATGACTTAACAACATGATCTTTATAATTCAACAGCCCATCACGGGTCTAAAACTACTGATACATCTATCAATAGATCAATCCATTAACCTAATAGCTCTAATACGTGGCAATCATTAACCCTAACAATAGCCTTATTACAATCCCAATCTGAACTCAAAGTTTTAAAACAAAAATCACATTAAGCATACTGGGAAAAATAATTGATAATACAAGCTAAGAAACGAGCTAAACATGAAAGTATAATCTTCAGTTCTCTTCAATAAATCACCTCATGATCTGTTTTACATGCTTAGGTCAAGAATATATACCTGGAAATTGAAAAGAAAGAAGCAGGATAATCAG